TTTTTTTATATGTTTGTTTGAAGAGATTTTTATATAAATTGCAGGTTGTGAGGGATTTTTGATATTCTTTTTTTCATATTTCTTAAGTATTGTTTAAATGATTTTAATGTTCAAAATGGAAAGAACAGAAGCAGTGATTAATGGGTAAAGAAGCAATTCTTAGTGGTTTTCATTTGTTTGGCTAGAAGGGTGTTTGGATACCGAGAAAATGTTTTCTGTTTGAACAGGGTAAAACGTTTTATCCATGTCATTACTTTTTTAAATTTTACGCTCCACATCATCAAAAAAAATATAAAAAATGCCACATATGCAGAGTTAACGACGAAAATTAACAAAAGGACTAACAGTGTGCATTTGTTAGAGTTGAGGGATCAAAAAAGTGCAAAAAATTGTTAAGGGACCAAAAATGTGCAACTCACTAAAGTTGAGGGACCAAATTTAGCATTTAACCTTTTTATTTTTATATTTAAAATCTTAATTTATTTTAATGGTGTACTATTTAAGTCAATTTCTTACCTAATATTTAATTTAGCCCTTAAAAATATTTTGTGGCTCTGCTGCTGCTGCTATAAAATCATCCAATGTTGAAAACAAAAATGAAAATGAAAAATCAATTGATATTATAATTAACGATGAAATTTCACTCTCAGTCGACCAACTTAGTACCCACTAATTTAAAATTTTCGAGTCAAGTCCCTGTTGCCGCAATTAAGATTCGATGTTATAATTACCTGAGTGAAGAAGACGAGCATAGTGAGAAGCTTCATGGCCTTAAACAGCATCCTGAGAAGATGAAAACAACTGGTGGACCACGACAGTAATATCTCTTCCTTTTTCTGCTGAGGCAATTGAGAGAATGTAAGCACAAAAGGAAAGTCCGTCGTAAGGCACCTTCTACCGCACAGAATCAAAGTTCCGATGTACGTCGACAGCATCCACAGCGCCATCCTGATCAGCCACTTCTTCGGATGATTCAATCTTTCGCTCATCAATCCTCCCAGCTGCAAATCAAACCATCATGATTAATTAATTTTTTAAAAGAGCCAATGATCTTAGTTATCCTCTCCTAAGGTAAAGTAATGATTTGAAGTTGCATTATATGAGAGTAAAATGTGATAAAAGATAAGATAGGTTACTTTTTATTTGTTGTATAATCGAGATGAAAATAATTTTAAAAAAAATTAATAATTCAGATAGATTAATCCGTAGAAATTGAAAATTTGAAACGCACACGCTCGGGAGTTCTCGCCATGGAAGCGGAAGATCTGAAGAAATCAACGATTCCAGTATCACTAGCGCCGGAGATATCAACGTCGACGGAAGGCAAGAAGGTGTCGCAAATGGCGGTAAGAGACTCCATTTCGCGAGAGGAGAGGGAGTTGATGTAAAGCTGCTGCTCTCCTCCACAGAGCAGGCTCTCTTCGCCGCCGAAGTCGATCAGAGTCTCCTTCTGCATGGTTGAAAAATGTAGTTAAGGAATTTGGATTTCGATTCTGAGGAAAAAGCAGAGCATAAGCCAATGGTATTTATAGAAGAAGCGGGAAGAGCTTTCCTTTTTTTTTTATCACAAGGTAATAAGAAGTTAATATAAGTTAATTGTTAATAATTAATGATTTGATTTTTAAAAGAGTGAATATTTTACTTCTTTAAATGAAGCATGCAGTCATCAGATTATTTTTTGATGAAATTTATAACGATGATAAAGTTTAAAACTTTGACTATTTCACCCAAATACTTAAAATTTGAGGGTTAAATCATCTGGTTTAAAAATCCGATTCCGGTAAGAGCAAATTGATAAAAACAAAGAAGTAAAAATGAGAGTCAAAGAGAACACGTGGAGATAACGAAGAATCAAATGGTAGAAAATAGCAGGAGCAGTCTTGTCCTTTGGTACCAGGCTGACTTGCCCCTTTTAAAGTCTCGAAGTAAACGAACTAACAACTGCACAGTCTGCACCTCATTAATTACTTTCGTTACCCCCATTTGTTTCTGGTTTGGGTTTTGCCATCTGGCTCCTTGGAATAATATTTCACCCGTCTATTTCTAATAAATTTAGATTAATTTTTTATTAAAATTTTAATTTGATTTTTTTATTTTGATAATAAAATTTTT